AGGCACGCGCTCGCCTCGCTGCCCGGGCAGGCCGCCCGCCGGGGAGGGCCTCTCCCGACAGCGAGCATGCAGCAGCACCCCCAGAAACACCCTCTGCCGTCTCTTCCCCCCCAGAAGCACCCGAGGGGGGATGAGTTCGAACGGCCCGGCGCCGACCCCAGCACTCGAGCCGGCGCTCGGCATCTCAGCTGCCAAAACCTGCCCACCGCCCTCCTGGATGCGCGTCCCTCCTTCCTCCGCCCGGCTCCTGCAGCTGCTTGTCCCAGGGCCGAGAGACGGGCCCGGAAGGTTTGGCTGTGGCACAGACCTGCCCGGCCAGCAGCACGCCGGGACCTGCCACCGCGTCCCACGCAGCCAAAAGCTCACCTGTCGGAGCTGGCCACGGGCTCGGAAGATGCAGGGACACCCCTCGTGTGCCTGTCACCCCCAGCCACAACCTGCTGGGTGGGAAGGACACCCACCCCGCCAGGCACAGTTAAAACCATGGCCTCAGCCCCTCTGTTACTTGGACACGGAGGATCTCACCGGTGTCTGTGCCAAAACAGTGTGTAAATTTACCTAAGAGCAACTTTTTGGGCCACAGAGCTGCTGGGGAAAAAAAACTCATGAAGCCAAGGACTCCTCTATAGCAGTAGCCCATGGGGCAGGAATTTGCTCCCCACCATAAACGGGGCACAGTTTGCACTCGACGTGAGCCAGGGCACTCGCTGAGCCCCTCAGTACATCTCCACCCTTCCTCCTCCTCCTCTTCCTCCTCCTTCTCCTTCTTCTCAGCCCCTCCCCCTGCAGCCTGCAAAAGCGCTGAGCTCAGCACATCCCGGGCAGGGGCCCAGCCAAGGACCCTCCCCAGTGCCAGCCGCTCCCCCTCCCCGGCTCCTGCTTAACCCTTCGCAAAGCCGGGCTGGAAACCAGAAGGATCGAGTCAATCTCATCACAGACGGGGACAGGCACAGCTGGCTGGGAACAGACTGTCCAGAAAGCCTCAATCTCTGTCTGCTCTCCCAGAAAGGACAGCAGGTCAGGGGGAAAGACACACTGCTCATCCACAGAAACCACGCTGGGTTTACTGCCAGCAGCAGGACCAGGGGTGGGGAAGTGCAGGGATTACCAACACTGTAGCTAAAACTTTACTTTCCAGCCCAAAACCATTCCTGGAGGCCCTGCTGCAGAGGAGTGGCCTGGATCTCAGCTTCTTTTGGGAAGCAGAAAGAGCTGCCAGCCCCACATTGCCTCCCCTCCCCTCCCAGCTGGATTCTTTTATTGTGTGGATCAAAAACTGCATTTCCCCACTAAAACTTGCCATCACACCAGAGCTGCTTGCTCCGCTGCCTACTAGGAGATGTTATGGCAAAGAAAGAAAAATATTTATGCTTGGCTCCAGAATTCCAGCTTATTTTTAGCAAGGCGCCCTCCCTGTGGTCCTTTACCTCTTTTTTGTTTATTTGCTGCCTTCCCTCTGTTTTGACCCCCCCAAAAGCAGCAGATTCTCATCTATTTTCAGCTTCACCCAGCCGACGCTCGTACCAATGACTTGGTGGCTGCGGGGAGAAATAACCCACCAGGTACATTTTGTGAAAAACAGGATCCCAAGCACCATCCAGCTGAGTGTGCAAATATTGGGGTATATTTTTAACAGCTGGGGCTGGGGGATTGTTCATTTTTCATCCCAAAAAGCCGAGGAGCGGCTCTGCAAGCCGCAGGCGCAAGCCAGGACTTGTTCCCAACTCCCCGCACATCTCCTCTGCTCCCTGGGATGCTTCCCCAGCACGGAGTCCCGCTCCCAAAATGCGGATGGGTCCAAGCTCTGACCCCTAAAAAGAACCAGAGCTGCTGGTGGCTGCACAGACCCTGTGCTGGGAGGTGGCAGGCAGTGGGTGCGGGACCCTCGCTCCTGCCTGCCCCGCGCCGTGTTCTTATCGCCGGGCTCTTATCAATCTCGGCTCGGGAAGGACAGGAGCCAAGATAGATCCCGGGCTGGCTTCGGAGCGTGCTCAGCCCCTCCGATAAAGCGGCAGGCAGCGCAGCGGGAGGATAAACAAAGGCCTTTATCTGCCTTGGGGAAGGTCACGTCCGCGGGGACCGGCGGGGGACGCGCTGCCAGGGCCGGGGGCTCGCCCGTGCCCCGTCCCGCCTTTAGGGAACACCAGGGGAAGCAGGGGGATGTAACCCCGAGC